TCCACCGGATGAATTTTATTCCACATCTAGTTAACATATAAACTAGGAATGTCCATATCTCATGAAAGTGCATGCACTTTCATATTTAAGAATGTCAATTCACAAATAAAATTGAAAAGCCACTTTTTCTCATTACAGTCCTATGTTTGAATCGTGTTTGATCCAACTTTAATTTGGGCCATTTAAATATGACTACTTTCATGAAATAAAACCTAATTGAGATCATAAGTTACATCACGTTGGTCAGGTCACAAAACACACAACTATTCGACCCGTCTTCTCTATTAATGATGATTTTCTATAGATTCATTTTTCCTTCAATAAAACTGAATAAAGATCTTCCGAATTACCAAATCCAATCATTCTAGATCTTGTTATACGTCACTTTCCACGAACTCAAGATGAAAAAAATAAACAAATAAATAAAATACAGCCAAAAGCACTTGTGGTCTTGATCGAATGACGCTTACTAGATTCCAAGAGTCACAAGGTTCGGTGACCTCCTAGGAAGTTTTATCAAAGTTCAGTGACGAATTAGAAAAGTTTTGAAGTTCGGTGACCTCCTGGAAACTTTTGGTAAAGTTCGATGACTATTTAGGGTATTAACTCATAAAATATCATTGAAAAAATCAAAATCTACTCAGTGTCACCGACTTATCTATCTATCTTTCTTTGTCCCTAGTCAACTGATAGTCTCGCAAGTCAAGTTCAGGCACGATATCATGAGTATTATCAGGATTTTCCTCATCCGTGATAGGCTGGATCTCAGTTTGATATGGCTCCACCTCAATCCGAGTATGTTAAAAAACATTTTGATTACTAAAATCAATTTCAGTGATAACAAAATCAATGTCAGTTATTTCTTCTACAGGTTTGTCACCAAGACAAGGGAATACTTCTTCATTAAAGACTATTGATCTGCTTATTATCACCTTAAATCCTATAACTTCTTTTATCCAAAGACTATAACCTTTTATTCCTTCTCTGTAACCACATTTTTGAGATATGGGATCAAGTTTTTTATCAGTTTTGTGAGCATAGGCTACACACCCAAAGGTTTTCAGACGAGAGTAATTAGGAACAAATCCAGACCAAACTTGTTCAGGGACTTTATAATCTAAAGAACTAGAGGGACATCTATTAATCAAATAACAAGCAGTCATTACTGCCTCTCCCCAAAAGATTTTTGGTAAACCTAAACTAATTAGCATACATCTAGTTCTTTCAAGGATTGTTGTGTTCATTCTTTCAGTAATACCATTTTGTTGAGGGGTATAGGTCACAGTCATGTGCCTTAGGATGCCTTGATTACTGTAGTACCTATCAAAGTTTTCCGATCCTTGAAGACCAAGAAAGTATCGGACTTTGATTTTTATTAAGAAAATCCAAACCTTCCTAGAGTAATCATCAATGGTGAGGAGATAATATCTGTAGCCAGATGTTGTAGTTATAGGAGCAGGACCCCATAGGTCACTATGTATATATTCAAGTATGTTTTGTGACTTATGTATGCCTGTCTTAAAAGGCATTCTGTTATATTTTCCCATAATACAATGTTCACAAAAGGTTAATTTTTGAACATTGTCATTTCCGAAGACACCAGCCTTTGAAAGAAGTTTTAATTCTCACTAGGATGGCCTAATCTTTTATGCCATAATTCTAATTTATTAGTTTGTGTCACTAAGTTCACAGAAGTATTTTGAAAAACAGATTCAAGGTTTATGGTAGAGATACCATTAATTTTAGGTGAACTTGACAATAAATTTTTGATTTTTGATTATATTTGTAAAACTACTATTAATATCAATTTGATATTTTTCATCATCTAACACCCCTAAAGAGATGAGATTCCTTCTAAGTGCTGGAACATACCTAATATGATTCAACTTTAGAACTTGACCATATTTCAACTTTAGAAGAATGTTACCAATTCCTTTTTGTTCCCCAGTTTTACAAAACCATCACTAAGGAGTAGCCTGAGTCAAGAACCCAGCTCTGATCAGGCTTCTCCAAAGAGAAAACATATGCAACCCCAAAGTCAACATTTGCTTCCTTATAGGAAGCAGCAATGGCTGAAGTCCCATTATCATGATTGGATTCACTTCCTAAGTCATTAGCTTTCTTAAAGAAATCTTTTATTACGTGTCCAGTTTTACCGCAATAGTAATACTTTCTATTCTTAGCCTTTCCTTTATACATTTTCTTATCCTTCATTTTAGAGAAATTTTTATCTTTGTTGTAATTGGCTTGACAAAAATTACTCAAGCCATTAGTAGAGAATTATAGATTGGATAAGGCTTTCTCTACATGAAGAACGTCCTTATGTTCAGATCAACGTTCTAAGTCACCGT